TCTTTAAATAGCCTGATCACGTATTCGGTCTTTGCTGTTTCTGGCATAGCTATTAATCTAGCAAACTTACTAAACCTATCCACGATGACAAAAATCTGTCTCATCCCACTCTTGCTGGTGACCAGCGTATCCATGAAGTCCATGGATAAACTTTCACCCGGCCTTTCCGGAATCGGAAGGGGCTTGAGCAGCCCAAGAGGAGCCTGAGTACGGGGCTTGTCTCTCTGGCATACTTGACAAGTTTCCACATACAACTGTGCATCTTTCATCATCGTGGGCTACCAGAACCGCTGCAGCAAGTTGGCGGCGGTCTTCTTGTACCCAAAATGGCCGGTGGCATCATGACACTCGCCTAAAAACAAACTACGCAAAGACTCGCTATTTGGAACGCATAAGCGTTTATTCCTTGCCTTCTCTAGGAACAGCAAACCATTGACAAACTCAAACTCGGCGGAGGTCTTCTTATCCTTCGCCTCAAGTCTGCGTATGATCTCAGACATAAAGTGATCCTGACGATAGGCTTCCACCAAAGACTGAGTAACATTGTCCGTCAGATCGAACTCAGTAATCAGCGCACCTGAGAAGTCCGGTCTGCGCGAGAAGGCATCCGCAACCTTGTTGTACTCCCCTTTGAGGTACTGAGGGTCAAAGTCATATTCGTCAATGACTTCGATCCAACGCTTGAGAGCGTCAGAGAGTACCGGCTGTGTTCTCATCCATCTCAGGGTCTGATGATCAGTCCGGAGGATGAAGAACCGCCCAAGGAGGTAGTGTCTCCAATGGGTGAGAGCCTTGTACACCGCATAGAGTTCCTTCTCATAAGTGGACTTAGCCAACTTCTGAGACGGCATTTTCTTGGACATGTACTCTACTGGCCTCAACTTTGGCCCCTCATGCTGCGCAAGCACGGTGCCAATGCCATATTGGCTGGCATCCGTTGTAACTATAAACGGCTTGTCAGGATCATGAAGTTTCAAGACTTCATAGTGCATCAATGCATGCTTCAGATGTCTGAAAGCAGCCTCGCACTTATCTGTCCACTCCGAAGGGGTGTCAAGGCGGGTCAGATCAGTCAAAGGAGCGGCCACTATGCTGTAGTTCTTAACGAAAGTCCTATAGTAGTCCGTCATTCCTAAGAAAGATCTCATCTCAGTCACAGACTGAGGACGTGGCCAATCACGAATGCTGACCACCTTCGCGTCATCGGGCTTCAACCCTTCCGCGGAGATCTCATGACCCAAGTACAAGATACGGGTGTGGCCAAACTCGCACTTTTCACCGTTGATCATGAACTTGTGCTGTCGCAGGAGACTGAGAACTTTGTCTAAGTGTGCTACGTGCTCCTCGACGGTCTTACTAAAAATAAGTATATCATCGAGGTACACGACGACAAACTTATCCAAGTAGTAATGGAATATCCAATTCATAGCGTGCTGAAAGGTGCGAGGAGCATTGCAAAGGCCAAAAGGCATCACCACAAACTCGTATAGACCGTACCTGGTTTGAAATGTGGTTTTGTGTTGATCCTCGGGCCGGATTGCAATCTGATGGTACCCGGACTTCATATCTATTTTACTGAAGTACCGACACCCTTGCACTCTATCTAACAGATCATCGATGCGCGGTAGGGGCTCTCTRTTCTTCACAGTGATGGCATTGAGGCCCCTATAGTCAATGCACATCCTTAGAGTTCCCTCCTTCTTCTTAGGCACGAATAAAACTGGAGACCCATAAGGAGAGACACTCGGTCGGATCCAACCCTTCTCTACGAGTTCCTTAAGTTGGCGGCGAAGCTCATCAAGC